TTAATCGACCGGCTAATTGCCGAGTTTTCAATATCAATTTTCGAAGGGATTAAGAAGCGACGAGCTGTATTTGCACGAGATTTTCACGGGTGTGGGTACTAACCGTGAAATTAATATTGTCAACTATGTCCGCTTAATGCGAGATAAATATTGACGCAATTAATTAATATTAATCATTTTCGTTTCGATGTACTTTCGCTTATTGAATATTTAATTCGTCAAATTAATATGATTGTGCTAGGAAGGGAGTAAATTTAATAGGTTCCGGTTCTTTACGGTTGAAAAAATATCCATCTTTACGTTAAAAAAATATGTATTTTCTTTTTTATGATAGAAACAAATTGTTTGAAAATGAATAAATTGTCATCTTCAGAATATCTTCGACTTTTATGTCTTTATAGTTTCATTTTACGAAAAAATTAAAAGCTTAAAAAATTTAAATTAAATTTCTTTTCTAGCTTAATTATATTATCTTAATAAATTATACTAATAAACTCTGTAAAGAAAAGACAGGGCATGCTAATTTATATATACATATATCTTGGAGTAGTTGGAATCTTTTCAAGTATCATAAATGCTCTATAATGTGATAAAAAAAAATCCTCGATCCCTCCCGTATTTCTTGAATGTAACTTTCCCCCGTATTCAAATTCCTAAGTAGGACAGAATGTAAAATAATGATGACCTTATTGATATAGAAGATAAGCGCCACTCGACAGTTTGAAGGACCACCCTTCACAGACGAATATTGAGCCATCCCTGCCGGATTTCTCCCCTAACGTCTGCTCGCGACGTAGCTTCACAAAGAAAGTCGCAAACCTTCGCATCACGCTTTCTTACCCTTAAAACGTCGTAAATGATTTCCTTCCGGAATAATCTCTAATTCCTATACACCACAGTTACTGTTATAACGGCGAACCGATATAATTAATTACTGCTAATTAAAATTATTCATTTATATGTGTCACACGTTCTATTATATCTCATTAAAAATATGTCAAATATCGACTTCCCTAATATTTAATCCTTGGTGACTTTAATTTAATAATATTAAACTTGAATATTGATTTATTATCTGAAAGCATAGATTAATTAATTATTAAATATGTAGAGCTTAATATATTATTTAATATTTTTAAGTGCATAACATGATTAACTATTATCCATGTACAGAAAAATATTGTTTTATTGTTAAGAAAAATAATTACTCAATTTTCCTTCCTTTTAAGAAACTTTCATCTTTAACAAAGAATATTTTCTTGATAATAATCTTAAAATATAGTTATTGCAATTTTAGATAAAAATCATTATTATGTGCTCAAAACAAGAATCTATTTTCTTTTAAAGAATATTATAAGATGGATCGAAGAAGCAACTTTATATGTGTATATAATAAGCAAATCGAATTTATTTTTAATTTAATAATCTCTCTTCATTGAAATATATTAAACTAATTAAGATTCGCGAAATATATTTTGAATAAATAACGTTTGTAATAAATTTATGATAATTTGCGCATATATAGACTTTTGAAATACTTCAAGCAATTATTACTTGTGTTTAGTAAGTATTTTTCTGTGTGTATGTGTAATCTCTGTTTGTGAAGTTGCAGAAAAATATTTTTCCATAATAGTCTGATACATAATTTAGTTTGAATTAAATCAAAAATCAGGTCACATCACAGAAATAATAAAAAACTCGCATATTAACATTTATCGCGGATCCGAAAATCTAATTTTTATAAACACTCAAAGACACATATATATTTTATTGACTTGTTATTTAAAGTTTTCGTGAGCTATCCTCTCGGTAAGCTAAACTGAAAATCAGTTATATTGTACATATAATGAGGAGCATCGAATTAGGACAATTTGCAAAAATATATGATATATTCTTAAAGAACGTTGCAAGTATAGATTAATAAAGAATTTTCTTGTCGAACAAAATTATTTGAAATGACAAGTATTTATCCTTAATCGTTCTCGTTCTAAAACGAATCAAAAACTAAAAACGAATCAAATGTTCGAATATTTATTTTTGCGATATTCCTCGAGGACTTGTTTAACGGGGATGTCGAGATGTCGAAATGTCAAAATGTCGAGATGTCGGGAATAAATAGATTTACTTTACAGGTTGAATAATTTTATAACAAAAATGACACATTTTGCTTTCATGTCAATTAAATCGTTCAAATTTGTCACCTTGTAATTTTCTCGCAAACGACATCGTTCCACAAGTAGCAGTTTAACACAAACGGCAAACGGAAATTCTCTCGTTGGCGAAAAAACCGTAATAGTGCGGGTAGGTGTCACGTTTACATGTGACTCGCAACTCGAATTGCCGTAGGACGAGAGCAGAAATTTTTCCCGTTTGCTCGTGCGTTTGTTCGCTCGCTCGTGAGGCGAGCAGGTGTCGTATTATACGCCCCTGTGTCTATCGCCCACCCCTAAAGCATCGTGACTTCGCTCAGTAAGGGCGAGACTATTACTACGCAGGGCTGAATTGGATAGGCGCAAAAAAAGCCCCGGCTTCCAGGACATTAGATGATCGCACTCGTTATTTTTTTTTCCGGTCGGAGTTTCTCCTCTCCACTGTATTATCTTGGCCCACCGCTTCGTATCCCCGCGGATACCACATAAGACAGATGGTCTGGTCATTTTGCGTGAACCACTAAATACAGGGTGTGTCCTATCGATAACGGAGAACGTAAATACGGGAAACGCGCGATAACCATTCATTTCTCTCGACTCTCGACGCAACTCTTGAAACTGTCTATTTGAAGAAGAATTCGATTTTCGAGTTTGCCAAAGTTAACGGGCCACAACGTTTTGCGCATCTCCTGCGGTAGATCTTGCACACGGAGCTTGCAACTTTCGTATTGAACTTTAGAAAGTCATTTAATAATTAATTTCTAATTAATTTTGAGACATTTGCTAATTGACTACCTACTTCAGCCAAAACCTTTTTCAGAGGAGACGACTGACCTTAGAACTTTCAATTAAACACTCTTGATAATTGAAATTGCCTTAAAATTATTTTAAATCGACACCTCGATTTAAAATTTTATTGCCATTATTATCCATTAATTTATGCAATTTAGATTTAAATTCTCAAGACCGAATCGTAACTTCGCTCTCGCTCAACTTTCCGCGAAAGAAAAGTTGATCTCAAATTCACCGAGAACACGCCCTTCAAGTTTGATGTAAACTTTATGAAACACCCCGTATACTACCTAGATCCCGGTGCCTCCAATTTGTTTTCTCATGAATACTTTCCTCCGATCCTGGCGACGGCGTGAATGCACCGCTTGCGCAGTCGCAATAAATACAGACAGTTGTCAGGAAAGTGTCTGCAGATGAAAGCTTTAGGGTAGACTCTCATCGGTATGTTGTTTAATTTCCATTCATTTTCATGTGTATTTGTATGACGAAACAAGGTCAAGAATTATAAAAAAAGAGCGATATGAATTAACATAAAATATAGCCTTAACAAAATTCCTAAATCCCACACAGCATGAAATATTTATACGAATCATTTTTCAATAAAATATTTTAGAAATATTTCGTAAGCTTTTGTAAAACGTTTTAAAATATTTCACAAAAATATTTTACAAATGTTGTACAAATATATTGTAAGAAAAAGAATATTTCAAAAACTCTTTTCTAGATATATTTACTTTTTAAAAAGATTTTATGAAAAATTTTTGAAATATTTCAAACCTTGCAATAAAACATTTTGCAAATATTTCTGAAATATTTCGTGCTGCGTGGGATATCACATTTTCTCATAATTTATGGAAGTAATACATTATATTGTATTAATTACACATTAGATAGTGAAGCAATGTCATAAAACATACATTCGAAGAAAAGTTTCTGGATTCCTCTCAACGTGGAAAGTTCTGAGAATTCAGAGAGAAAAGTTTTTAAGCCGGTCAGGCGACTAATTGCTATCACAAATCAGAACATAAGATCGCATCGTGTTTCCAAATTCTGCACAGCATGCATCCAATGTGTTCTTAATTGTGTCACATTTCTTTTTAATACGATTAGATTACAGCTTCAACCGCTTCGCAAGCTGTCGCTCAAAGTAGAAAAACAGTCATCATCAATTTTTAACATTTAAATGGTTATCGCATTTTTAGCTTAATGTTTTCGATGTCATAGCTAATCGGACATTGAATAACAAAATGAGGAAGAGTTATGATAATTCCTCTCGATTTATGTCAAAAAAACTCGCATTGAATCTTGCAAGTAATATACCGGCATTTATACCAAGATTGTCATAAACTAGAAATTAGAGAAGTCAGAGAGATGTCAGGAAAATTGAAAATAATCAGAGTCATGAAATTTTATAAAATTTTCTAACAAATCACAATTCTTGACTTTAAAGAAGTTTTATATTCGTACATCACATCTACGCAGTGTTGGAATAATACTACCAAATTAACAAATAAACTCAAACAGTGTCAGCAATTTTAACACTAATTTACATTGTTGTTAAATTTCTTTGTCAGCAAAATGTCTAACGGGTTCCAAATCAGGATGTCAATAATGTAACTTTTTTCCTAGGGCGGAAACATAAAAAGTGAAAACTTTGTACGTACATACATAAAAGTGTTTACTTTTCATATTTTCATTTTAGAAAAAAGTTACATGATTGATACTCTGGACGAAAATATAAAAAATTTCAAAACGTTGTTGAAAAATCAGAGAAAATCATGAAACTTTGGTTGGAAATGAAGGAAAAATTTTGTAATTTAAAAATGAGAAATTTATGGCAACTCTGTATAGATCCTCAGTGAATTCCGGGACACCCCACGGCGCGCCCCAAACGCGGACAGCCCTGCGCGGCAGCGCGCTCGGCACGTTCTCCACCACCGCCTCCACCATCGCCACCGTCGGCGTAGGGGGTTGTACATCGCGCGGGCATCGAAACGCGTCGAAACGCGAGGCGGCCGGATCGGACTGACTCGCGAAAATCGATCGGCGCCCCGTCTCGCGCGCGTCGTCCTCTCTCGCGGCGGTTATAGCGGCGTGCCCGCGCGACGAGGAAGCGTGCAGCGCGTCGCACGCGACAGCACGCGTCGCGGAAGAGAGTTCCGTCGTCGGGAACGAGGGTGCGAAGGAGATCGTGGGAGCGAGAAACACCGCTCTTGCTTGCAACACCGGCTGGAAGCCGCCGCGCCTCGCGCTCAAGGCGAGAAATTTCGTGGGAAATTTAGCCGGTGTCGTCGACCCGCTTAGAGCTCTTTGCTGCCGTTGCCACCGCCACCGCTGTCATCGCCGCCGGTCCGCGATCGGACCGCGATCGTTATCGAGATCGGATGAGCGAGATTTTCCCGTCGCTGCGAGTGAGTGCGAGATCTCCTCGAGAAGAGCGTGAGAAACTACAACTGCCGATGGGGATGTCGGAATTCAACGTCATGCCGTCGATAGCCGGCTGGTAAAGCGAGATGAAAGGTTCGCCCAAGGTGCTCGTGTGATCGGTATTTCCATTTATTAATTTAAAAAGTAAAGGGTAATCCCTTCAGGAGCACGGAAATTCGAACTGGTATTTTTTTTTTTTGGAGAAACTTGCGAACGGGATCGGTTGTGCGTGACTCTTCGTATCTACTTAGGAAAAAAATTGTTGGTATCAATTGCGGCTGTTAAAAAGGAAAAACGCTGAAAAGGTGAATTAAATTGATTCTAAATTATTCTCTAAATCTTTAAGAAAAGGGCAGCGAGAGAAAGAATAGAGAAACGAGAACGATCATGTATAACGGTTGTGTATGACTATCCATAACTACCGCGGGGAAATTTTTCCGCTGTCAAGAAGTAGAACAATTCGCGTCAATGAAAAACGGAACGTTCGCCGCTGTTGAAAAATAAAGTTGATTAATTCGAGAGCGAATTTCACGAACTCGTCGGTCGGTTTCGTGTATTTTGCCGTTTTTTACATGTGTTTTATATCGTCGTTTTTTCACGGGACGTAATACCGTATACTTCTTATATTTTTGACGATCTTTTTCTTCGCGAAAAAAAAATCCACAAAATAATACGGGAGATGATCGATCACGGCGGAAATTGAGGACCAGTAGAATAACAACGGAAGTATCGTCCATGTGTCGAAGTGCACGCTTCGTGCAACGGGTCGACCGATCTGTCATCGCCATTGTCGAATCGTCTAACGGCGGTCCTAAACCCCGGAGGAAGGTAGCTCCAGGAGGACGATAATCTTCGCGGAGAAAGGCGGTGCTTCGTCAGGACGCGTTGCGCCATTTCAGGTGCGAGTCTCGAGCCTTCCGCTCGAGTGCTTTAGCGTGTCTCTGGGTGCTTTAGGTGAGCTTGGCTCTCGCGAATCAAAGCTGCGAAAGAAAGCATTCAACAGACATCAAAAGACCCGGTGATTAATGAACGCGGGTAATTAAGAAACATTAAGGAGAGCTGCCGAAGGAGTCCTCGAGATCCTCCAACTATTCGGAGAGAGCGTGTCATCCTCCCCCCCGCTGCGCCCTCTCCCCCTCTCGAGAGGATCCTCGCCGGAGGACATCGCCGCGGGGTTGGCGGTGGGAGGAGGCCGTCTACCTTCGAGGTAAGAGAGAGAGAGAGAGAGAAAGGGGGGGAGGAGAGGAGAAAGAGAAAGAGAAGGGGTGGGAGGCCTTTAGGGGTGGAAAATCGTTGGAGAATACCGTCGCGGTGAAATCACTCCTCTCGAACGCTCGCGAGACGATCAGACCGCGAAGCATCCCCCGCCGGGCCCGTCCTGCTCCCTTGCCTGCCTTTCGCCCCTTCGCTTCTCCAGCCGGTGGGGTGGAAGTGGAGGAAGTGGCTGTCTGATCTCGGACGGAATGACAATAAGACTCCCCTTTGATTAATCGACGGAACAGAGAGGAGAGAGAGAGAGAGAGAGAGAGAGAGAGAGAGAATGAGTAAGTGAGAGAAAGAGGGAATTAGTCCTCTCGAGACGGCGGATTGTTTTGCAAGTGCTAAGAAGTTCCGACTGTTAATAGAACTGACTAAATATAACTCTAACCGAGTAACTTAGACATAAATCTACCGACTCGAACTTAAGCGATGCCTCAAATAGCACCGTGCATTGAAATGTCACGCCTCTTCATTAAAGTCGACAAGATTGTTCAAACGAATTAATACATAATGCTCTCTTGTTAAAATGAATTAATAACGCAATATCTTCCTGATAGTAAGAAGATATATCCGGTGTCGACCTGTGGAACGTCGTCCGGAACATTTCAACGCTATAAGAACGTATCGAAGTGTAACGAGTGCAACGATTAATCAAGTGATTAACGATTGTCCCCCAACTGAAAGTTGCTCGACTAATCCTTTTCGTTGCATCCGATCGTCGAAGAACTTTGCAGACACAGGGTTGTGCGGGAGGGCAAGGTGCGCGACAATAACGCGAATGAATTCGGGAGGAGACGGGATAAGTAGAGTGGATCGAAATTAGAATCGTGTGCAGCCAGTGGAAGAGGGTTGGCGCTTGATCAGGCGAACCGGCCGACTTGAGCTCAAACTGCACTACTGAAAAGATCTCATTTGTTTAAAGAGATCTTTTGCATTGCGGCGTATCTCGGTAAAATTGTGTTTACATGATTTGAAAATATTCGACAAAGTGCGTCTCTACTCGCGAAACGACAATAATAAAACGCGCACGATGCATTAACAGTATCGAAAATAATTCATAATAATCGATCATAAAACGTCGACGAGAAATATCGACGGGAATTCCGATGCCAGCCGGATGTTTTCGAATGTCCATCTTTATTTGAGCCAGCGACAGGCGTCAATTTGAACGGTGAGTAATCTGGACCTCCATGCATCTTCCTGGACGAGTGACGAATGCCGGGATGTAATCGACAACGATAACCGAACGTTAACAAATCACAGTGACGACAACGGGGAAATTTGTGTGGCCATGAAAAGGCGATAAAGTATAAGAAGGACTGAGTGACAAAACTGCTACCATTGAGAACTTGGAGTTTAACAAGAGTTTGATGGGCACATGAGAAAAATAATGATAATGTCCGCAATGAGTACAATTCAACACCCTTAGATCCGAGGACAATAAAGTTAAACGAGGGTAATCGAAAGCAACCACGTGAAACAACCGAGTAGCCACTGTTGAACTCGATATCGCGTAATAAAAAAATCGACGGTATATTTTAACAATCGGAAATAAAAATAGTGACAGTAATAGGTGCGAGAGCGTTTTGCTGAAACATTAAGTCGATACAAAAGGTTTGTCCGTACGACTTTTTATCTGTCTTTCTAGATATTATTTACTCTTTATCATTAATTTTATCAATCCTAATAACTGCACGCAAATTTTTAAAAATTTCAAATTGAAATATTATTCATTGATAAAAATTTAACAAAGAATCTTGCTAATTAAAGAAATTTTATTGTTAAAAAATATCTTTTCTTTATTTATTTATTATTGCATAAAATTTGATATAAATTAATATAACGATTTAAAAATTAGCGCGAAATATACTTTAACGTTTTAAAATAACAACGAAAGGAAGAGAAGCATGAAAGGCAATTCTTTTGCACTGATTCTCAGCAGTGATATAGTGCGACGAGACGCGGACTAAGAAACGCAGTGAAGAAAGCGCAGTTTTGTCATCCAGGCACTTCGATGCGCCTCGACGGTAGGCATTCGGGCTTAAAGGATCCACGCTCGAGGCGGTGAGTGAGGTTGTCCTGCGTATTCGTCGTCCTGCATACGCGGCCGGGACAAGGAGCCAGAGCAGGGACAGGTCCTTCCCGGTGTGGAATGACAATAAGGGGGCGCCGTACCCGCGGGGTGGTATTATGCCGGAGACGACGGATTTGAGCTTGCCGCCCAAGTGCCCGGCGAAGGCGTCGCAGCCCTTTCGTGGGATGGCACTCGGGACGCTGGCCGAGATAGCGGTGCGACTCGTGATTAGCGGCTACATATTCGCCGTGGTCGTCTACGTGAACGCCAGCGGCAACTGGGATAAGGACGATGACCTAGGTACGCGCGGCATGAGCACGAAACGGTCGCACGAACAGCCGAGATTAACCACTTCCCTCACCCGCGCGAGCGATAGTCGCTTTTCGACCGTGTCCCAAAATTGCCGGTTATCCTGATTTAGAGACCAATTTTCTCCATTTTTTCCTTAATAAAGATACAAGAGACCTCGCAATTTGCAAGATTTAAGTCAATTGTTTATTGGTAAAAATAAATTTGACACTATATTTTCCATAAGTAATTTTTTAATTTTCAGCGTTTTACGTTTTTCTTGCACTTCTTGCAAAGTTCGAAAACTTATCAAAATAATTCTTAAAATTATAACTAATAAATGTACTTGTTTACTTAATATATATAGTAATTAAATAAAATTTATCAATTATTCGAGCGAGTTTAATTTAAGTAGAATTTCATTTTTGAAAGTGGATAGTTGTTTAATTTAGTTTAGAGCGAAAGGAGAGTTCTTCCACCGCTAATTACTCGAAAACTATCGGTACTTCAATATTCTCTCATTGAGAAAAACATCGATATTCAAGTTAACGGAGGAATATATGGTCGAAAATTTATCTCGTGATTTAGGAGCATAAAACGGTCGTTTGTTTTTTTTTCTCTTTTTGTAATGGAATGTGAAAATGTGATTTAAAAAAGAGTAGTTTACAAAAAGAATGTATATGATTGCGTAGATATATGTTTTATTTAAAAAAAAATGTATTTTATTTTAATCGTTATTAAAAAAGAGCGGGAAGATGAGAAAATTGAATAATAAAAAACAGAAAGGACGTTGCGGTTGGTTTTCTGTGAAAATACTCGGGGAAGGAAATGGTTAAGTGAAGCTACGCTTAGCGATTCGCTGCTTTTCTGTAGATTATATTATTTCGTTGTGCAATATATTGCTGAAGATTAACAAAGAAGGAAAAATTTTCCTTGATCAGAGCCACAATGGGTCCCTTAATTCTGCTGGTAGCTTCGTTTGCCGTGCACACTCAGCATGTCCGGCGCAGAATGGAACTCTATATGGCTTTTGTGCGCAAAATAGAACCCAATACGTATTTCATAAATGCATATTGAAAAGTGGAAAACTGACAAAGTCATGAAATTGAAAACTGTTAGAATCGATATTTACAAAGTTATGGCATTTTTTAAAATAAAACTAGGTCGAAACGCAAAAGCAAGGCTGAATATAGTCCCTTAAAACGTGATGAAATAATAAATAAGTTCCCGTTAATGCATAACGGTTAATGCCTTGATCAAAAGTGCGGAGCTTTTACAAGTTTTAAATTTATAATCCGTCCTGCTTACAGCTGTTTGAAAATTTGCCAGGTATATATTTCTAATTTTTCCTTCCCCTCGTAAATATGCGAATGGTTATTTTATCTTAAACTTTCATTCACACAGACATTTTCCAGTTACATTTGTATCTTGATGTCAGTTTTTATTTATATCTTTGAAATGCCTTTAGCATAGAAAATGACATGCGTTTAAATAGATGGAACAGATAATAATCGCGCTGATACGATGCTAAAAAAGATAAATGGCTCGTGGCATGTACATTTTTCATCGAAGCGTCACAAACAAACGTAAAAGCGATATCCTGCCGGAAGAGTTCGTATTCGTGTTACAGACGTCGTTCGATTGATGAAAATTGCGGCGTATCGGAAAACGGAGGAATCAGACGCAAGCTTGTTGCGATACCGGAAATCACTCAGAGCGTAAAACTTGCTCAAAGAAATGTTACGCGGCGTAATTATATTTCGCGCTGCCGGGGTGGAAACTCTCCATTATGCGCGAAAACGAACTTCATTAGTGATATTTTTCAAGCTGCTTTCTCGTCTCTTTATTCGTAAGAAGCAAAGCAGCTTCCTTTTTACATGTTGCGAGGCAGGACTCTTTCTCGCGTCAGAATGGAATGTTAAATTGGAGGGAAATGTCTCTTAAGATATCTACACATTCTTGATGCTACTTTTTATTTCGTGAAACGTAACGATATTACTCGCTTAGAGTTCAGAGATCTTTACAGCTGCGTTACTTCAAGGTAATTTAAAATCAGGCTAAACAATAAGAGGAAAAAATTTAATCTCAAGTTTTTCGCTGCTAAATCTCGTTTACCTGAATGGCTTGTAAGTTTACTTATAATACTTCCTACTAACTTAATAACTTTCCACGTTCTTTCGTGACATAAAAGCTGGCGTTACAGCTCATTTAACTCATTAACCATATAATTAGTAATTTGCAAAATGTTATGAATTAAATATAATGTCTTCGAATATACATTAAGATTGAAAATTACATAATATTTTATTATAGCTCCGTGTGCATTCGTCAGAATTATTAACTCAATTATTAAGCGACCCGTGATGCTTGCTTCTGAGAAAACAGAAGCAGTATTGTAAGTAAAATTATTCAAAGCGTTAAAGTTAATGAGATTTAACTAGGAAAGAAAAGTCGCATTGTTTACAGTAAAGTTCCAAAGGAATCATTAAAAAGACGTCGAAAAGATTTCATGATTCCTCGAACCTTCATTTAACGCGATTATGGATTAAAAAGAGAATATTTACAGCTTGAAGGAAAGTTACTTATTTAATAATTACTAAACAATATCATTTTCATAAATGATATGGCTATTTTTACCAATCAATTGTCAAATTTTTACCAACCATTAAATATGCTACGCAGTTGGCATTTGGTTTTGATAAAAAGAATTAATTCCGGAACGTTACATGTTCAATATGTCCGAATCGTCAAATAAATAAATCCGGTAATAAGCATGCGTGGTCAAATAAACGTTGCGTTTGATGGACAGCTCGCGGCTTCATCTAGTTAAATTTCAATTAGTCGAGTTATGCATAAATTAAATACGTTATGTATCGCTATGTACCGGATTCCGATACATACCCAACGCGTTAATCACCTTTCTTCAACTTCTCCAGTGTCCACATCTAAGGTTAGCGCCGTACTTGGGCGAACCGCCACTTTGCCTTGCGACATTGAGCCGTCCACGCGAGAGGATCGCGTTTACATGGTCCTTTGGTTCCGCGATTATGCGGTGAAACCCATTTACAGGTAAGCAAGTTCTGTCGCCGAGAAAAATTTAAAGATCTAAGAAAATCCTCGGAAAACGCATTAAAGAGGTACGATATCGATATTTCAAAATTGAGACAAAGAAATTGCAGATTATTTTAGATCTCATTTAAAAGTAATACAACGATTTTTTAATAACGATTTACCATTCGGGTTAAAAGTTATTTAAATAAGAAGTAATACTTTTTTAAGTCTGTAATACTTTTTTAAGTCTAATAAAAATTTATGGAAATGTATTATATATAAGATAATGACAAAATCTCAATTTTTATTATATTAGTACTTTAAGTAAAATACATAATCTTGATGATTATGTAAAGTTACATCGCGATGCAGAAATTAGTTGTCCAGTAAATAAACAAAATATTTATTGGTTCTAAATCTCTGTTACTAATCGGAAAATTGCTATAAAATTTTTGCGCAAGTCATTTTAAATATTTAAAATATTTAGATTTTTGAATTTGTATAAAAATATTTAGATTTAGATTTTTGTTATTTTTGAAATTTTAGTTTATTATAATAAAAATAACAACAAATAAAATAAATACACTAAAAAAATATATTGCTCAATAAAGATAGAGTTTAATAAAGTTATAAATACAATTTTTCTATATATACAATATACATATAGTTTGTTTAAGGTATAAATATCAATATATGTATATCAATCGAACCTCCTTAAAAAAAAAGAAATAAAATTCAGGGTTTTACTCGTGAATTATTTACAAAATGAAATATGTATACAGTTTCGATGTGCGGGGACGGGCTTTTAACAAGGCCCTGAACTGGTCGGACAGCACCGCCGTAGGGCCCAGGGCCTACTTCGTCACCGTGACGAAGCCGGCCGCGCTCTCTTTGGAGGCGGTCCAGCTGGATGACGAGGGAATCTACAGATGCCGGGTTGACTTCAAGAACTCGCCGACCAAGAACTTCCAAGTGAATCTCACAGTGATCGGTGAGGAAACTCATTACCGTAACGACCGCGTAACACTGCTCCAGTATGATTAACTGTGTCTCGGTATAACGCGTAAAACAAAGATCGTGCTGAGGGAAGGGTGCTAACGGAAGAAGAAGGAGAGCGAGAATTAGCTGCAGTTAACGTCGACCGATATGCAAGATCTTTTTTCATCTCGACGCGAAGTTAAACTTGCCGGAACAATCTCCGTCTCGCGCGGTTTCGCTAATTGAGGGGCCCACGTTGCGACGGTCTAACCCACTTTTCTTCGAACTTCGCGGGGGCAAGAAAGGGAGACGAATTAATCGAAATTTCATTTTTGCAAGTTTAAAATTAACTTTCGCGAGCTCTCCTTAAAAAGTCGGAATAGACCGTCCGGGCTATTATCCGTCAATTATGGAAAGCGAACCATCCTGTTCGTGGAAATTGTTCGCAGTGCCACCGCACCAGCTACTCATTTACGACAGCTCCGGGGTGCAGGTGGAGAACGTCGCCGGACCCTTTCAGGTTGGCGTGGAGTTCGGTCTGTCCTGTGAAGTGAGAGGAGGTGAGCACACCGTATACCGATTCGTCTCTTTGTGATTTGTCCTTAGGTAAATTTACGTGCAAACACAAGAGTCGGTGATTCTATCTGTGTCTTGAACTTCCGCTCGCGGTTATTTACATTACGTTTCTCGGTTTCCATTCATGCATATTTGACATTCTACTATGAAAACCGTAAATCAACGCGTTATCGTGCATTTAATTGTAATTTGGGGCACGCAGAGTCCGCGTGCATCGAAATTTCTTTATAATCTCTCCTCACACAATTAACATAATTAAATGACAGAGATGGGAGATACGAAATACGGTATTTCGAGGTAAAGCAAATTTCTCATCGCATAGTTTAAAAGCTGCGATGAATTTACTATTATGCATGTGTGTGTATACGTATAATTACGCGTTCTCGAGTTTGTAAAATTTTATCCATTAATTCCTCCCTGAGAGAAATCAGGTTTCTCATTAATATGTTTAGTCGAGATACGAATCTCGGCGAGAGAGCGACAAATTACCCGACCGAACCCCCTCGTTTTAAGCGCGTATAAATCCCGACGTGACCCTTCTCTCTCTCTCTCTCTCTCTCTCTCTCTCTTTCTCTCTCAAGATCGCGTGAATAAATAAAAAGAGAAGAGATACTACCGCGGGTTAGCGTTAGCAATTAAATACGAGTCCGGCCTCTAAGTGGCCGGGTATTACGCGGGCGCGCCCGATCGGAGACACCCGGTATTAAGGGTAATTATGGTCCCGGTGATTTGTCTGCTGTCACGCGAGACTGATCGACGACGAGACGAAAGGTAGGGAGAGTTAATTAGCCGCGTATAATTTCCGTACTTTCCGTGCTTTCCGCGCGCGATTATACACGAAGGGAAACCTACGCCGGTGGTGAGCTGGCTGGTGAACGGTAAGGAGGTGGACGGCAGACTCGAGGAGTTCGGCCAGAACATCGTCGTCAGCAAATTGACGGTGCCGCAGCTGCGGCGAGAACACCGCAACACCACGTACAAATGCCAGGCGGCCAACACGCATCTCATACCGCCGTTGGAGAAGACGGTGATCCTCGACGTTTATCGTGAGTACTTTTCACCCAGTTCTTTTCACCTAGAAGAAAATTTCCGTAGAAGAACTTTTCTCCCTTCGTCGGCGCGATACAATCAATTTTCCCCCCCATTCGTACAAGTGCGCGTAGCGTAAATATTTGTAGGAATTTGCATACATTTATGTTTTTACGGAAAATTGATGTACATATACTGACACTGCTCTTCATTTAAATTTCACATGCGATAATTTTTTCGGTATAAAAGCAAATGAGTTTTAAAGCTACCAAACGGCGAAAAGTTACAAAAGGCTGAGTGTCATCCAAAGGTTAACATGTCGGTGTCGTCTCGTTTTGACGCGCGCAAAAGCGCAGTCGGCCGCATTTAGGAAGTTGCATGTGTCGTCGGGGATCTCAATTAAACGGGGTAACGAGCGCATTTGACAAAAATATGGCATTTATTTACCGCAATATATTGGTTGCACAACCTCTAATTACGCTTTTGCAAAGTTAATCAAAATGCCCCGCGGCATTCAACATGTTAATAATTCATATTAGTTAAATTTCGACCGCGGAAAGTAATCCTTTCTCATTTCTGTTATCGGCCCGATAAATTATTGGCAGGTTTGTAAGAGCGCACTGACCCTGGCACATGGGTAACCACCATGACACACACACACACACACACACACACACACACACACACACCGCGAAAATAAATTTAGCTTTCTTTAATTATTCAACTTGAACAAATCTCGAATGAGCGGAATAATCCGTTCATATTTGTAAATCCTTTTAACTGATTATTTTTATCAAAAGCGATGTTTGTAAGCTTCTCCGAAACCGATATCGATCAGATTAATATTAAGCACATGTTATGTGTACTCGTTTTAATTAAAAAATCATCGCCTGCGATTTACTAGATTGTTAAAAAGATTTTGAATACCCTTTAAAATTTTAACACACAAAAAATGGTTTTCACATTCAAATATAGAAACAATGACGATTATTTCTCAAAATAAAGACCATCGTGTTCAACTATTCGCTACCAGCCGGATTTGGTTTCGGTACATTCTGGCTCCTTAGAGTTCCAGCGAAGAAGCTGCGTCACGACAAGCTGACTCAACTTGTTCAACAGTTTCGAATCGTCATCCTTGCAAGAAATGTTTCATTGAGCGAAACAGGCCATAGTCAAACGGTGCAAGATTAGTATAACAGGTAGTATCTCGAATGCCATCTAGACGAATGACATTGAAATCGAATCCAGCAGCTAACAAACTGATGATTATTGAACATGATGGTTTCTATTTTGAAGAATAATTGTTGTTTTTGTACGCAAAATTTGTGCATATGTAAAAATTGTTTTTATATGTAAAAACCGAAGGGCGATTCAGAACTTTTTTACAATATAATAAAATCTGCTGTACTACACGAAGCTTTTTTTCGCTGAATTGCTAGCTAAATTTGCGTGCTTACTGGCTTATTGCCGTCTTGGCAGCGGTGCTGGCAGTGCTGCTGACTATGCTGTTAGCTTAACTTCAATACGAGTTTTCATGTTGGCTGAGCAGTTGGAATTTGGTAGAAAGTATTTGACGAAAGTATCCGAATAAAGAATAGACTATAAAGCAGATCGTTGCTATTGTAATACCTACGTCATCATAAAAGTACAATTGTTTTTAATTTATTATCACAAAGAGAATACTTTGATCACATAACTAAGGCTGCGTCTTGATTGACTCTCGCAATTTAATCTATCACGAAAATTCTGCAAACTAGCAAACAGCGTAGTCAGCAGGCTACACAATTTTCGTAACAGCCAGCTTGATCGCTAGTAAAGTAGCATATTGTTAAATATCAAAGAAACAATAATGACCCAATTTCTTAAATTAAATAACATTTTATTATTTTTAATTTCCATGTATATCAAAATGTAAATCAATATATTTCTACGATTAGTTTCAAAGTAAACAACGTTTATATTAACGTATATGCACGTAGTAAATAATGAATTATGTTTCAGTCAAATTTAATACACTTTATTGAGTTAAATTGTTTAATTCCACTGTTTTAGTTAAATTAACGACATATTGAGTAAGAGCAATAGCGACCTATAGAAGTGATTAAAAATAACTTAAATTGAATGTAATTTAATATTATAACAGCGGCTGCAAGGAAAAAACAATTTTGCTGAAGTGACTAAAAATTCAGCAAGATACAGAGCTGAAAATAATTTTGTTAAATTATCAAAATATTATGTAGGTCGTTCCAACTGGTTGCTAGAATGTCAAAATTATTTTAATTATCCAAATTTATTTTCAAACCTGTATCTACCTAAATTTTCAGATAATCTAACAAAATCGTTCTTTCCATATTCAAACAATCCAGCAGAAAGAAAGGCATCGTGTGTTATAGACTTAACGCGAGACATACGATGAATTTAAAAAGCGGTGAACGTCACAGAAGCTTGTAAGGACAGAACATCAGGAGAGGATTTGCATTCTAAGTATTAATTATAAATCCTTCCGACCTTAGTGATTTCTTGACATCCCGGATCGAACTTGAAACTTTTAAAGAGAGGTGTATAAAAACTTAGATAGTATTACTCGTGGTAGGGCGCAATAAATGCGATTTGCTGGTTGGTTCTAGTAAAACCACTCACCGTGAAGATACTGTCGAAGCTAACGGTCATGGAGACGGAAAAGGACTACTCCATCACCTGCGAGACGACAGGCTCGCATCCCCGCGCTCGCATCACCTGGATCGAGGGAAACGAGACGTTCCGGAACAGCAAGGTCGATAACGAAGTATTTTGAAACGTCGACGTCGCGCACGTCGATATTTTTTGACATGTTCCCCTCCGCCTGAATTATCGCCAGTTTCCTGCAATTTTCGAACGTATGTGCCAGCAGGTGAAGGAAAGTGGCAACGCGTCGGTGGTGCTGAGTACCCTGATGTTCTCACCCATCCCCGACGATCACGGCAAGATCCTCAAGTGCCGCGGCGAGAACCCAGCCCTGGCGGACGCGTACTTGGAGGACTTCTTCAAGTTGAATGTCGTCTGTAAGTGGCGGGCGCCGTTTCTTCGGCGCCTCTTTTATCCATGCGACAAATCGGATTTCGATTATCGTGAAATCAATTTGCCGAGTGACATCTTTATATTTGTAAAAAAATTTTCTATTTATAAATACGAATACGTTATATTTTAATACTTTATATTTTTTTAATTTTGTATATTTTTATATTTTATATCATATTTTATATCATATTTTATAAACCGTTTATCTTTATAGCATCATTTTTTCTAATACTGTGGTACATGAATTGTTTATCTATAAAGAGTGCATCTCTCGTGATAGATTGGAAGTTAAACCGCAGGATGTCCCGTAAAAATATCTCGATCAATTATATATTTTTTTTTATTTTATAATCCTTTTTAGTAGCAATTTTTCTAGTTCTGCGGTACATGAATTGTTTATCTGTGAAAAATGCATCCCGCTATTGTAGATCGGAATTATTTAAGCCACGGAATGTGAAGATATCTCAATGAATTAACATTTATTGACTGCAGTGATATTTACTCATTAATTAACAGCCGATAATTCAGATTTTGGAGATTTAAAATCGAATACAAATATGTAAATGGAACTCAACAAGTTTCATTGTGTTTCGTGTAACCTAAAATGTATGAAAATGGAAATCTGTTAAATCTGTTAAATCCATTGTACACGAAGAGTCGCATATCTTATTAATATCGTCTCTTCCCCCCCCCTCTCTCTCTCTCTCTCTCTCTCTCTCTCTCTCTCATGTATTCCGACGGCTTTAATATTCCACGTCCATTTTCTCTGAATCCGTCGAAATATTTCATCGTGGTCACGCACGTGAAACATTGAAAAACCGAAAAATTCTCTCTCTCTCTTTCTCTCTTTTTCCGCAGTCCCGCCTAAAGTTCAGCTACATCTGGGCAGCACTCTGAACGCGGAGAACATAAAGGAAGGCGACGATGTGTACTTCGAATGCAAAGTCCGCGCCAATCCGGAGCACCACAAAATTACTTGGCGCCACAATGTAAGTCCCACCATCAGCAACGAACCCACTTTAATCCCGGTGTGTTTACCTTTGCGAGGCACTGGCGTCTCACTTTTAAAATTTCGATTGCTTCGCCTCTCCACTAAACAGTTTCGGAGTTCCGGAAAAAAAAGGCGATTAAGCGCGAGAAGCACACACAAGGGTCTGAAAAATACCGGGATTCCTGAACTTTACATTTCTATTCGCGAGAATCGATAATGATCTTGTTTTTTCGATAAGGATCGATTCGAGTCACAATACCTTACGATGGAACTTTTGAAGCGTTATCTGAAACTTTCGGGAAAATGCCAGTTTGACGAAAGAAAAAAATAACTTTTGCTTTATGAGAGAAGTAGACTCGGAAATTTTCGTCTCTTCATCTTTGCATATGCATTCACTTCTCCGAGAGCGGCGAATATCTGTCGCCTCGCGTTTATCGCACGAATATTCGTGACACGGCTATTCATAAACGGAAATAAATTTCGCATTTTCTTGACAAATTTCCACCTTTGCCTTCAACGTCGCCTTCGTCTCCATAAAACGGGAAATTTGGAAAAAGTGTATACGAAAGCCCCGAGTATACATACCAAACCGAGAATAAGAAGATCCATTAAAAGGGAATCTTCGCGAACGGCGAAAAGGAGTTTGCGCGAAAAGCTTTACATGAAATCTATTTGTCATCTGCGTTTCTTATTACCGAAGAAATATGACGGAAAAAGCTATCGTCCTGGAATCTCAACCCCCGTGTTAAACGCGTTAATCCATCAATGACAGGGCGGCGTGCTGACGCAAAACTATTCGGCCGGTATCATCATGAGCACCCAAAGCTTGGTGCTGCAGGGCATAGGACGCGACAACGCGGGAAATTACACGTGTCTCGCCAGCAACGACCGTGGAGAGACGACGAGTCCAATTGTGAACCTGAGAGTGCAGTGTAAGTAGATACGACAAGTACGAATCGATAACAAGGATTTCAGAAAGCGAATGTGTAATCTCGGTGAGTATATACGCCGGTGATTCGAGGATGAATTGAATTTCAAGTTGAAATCTTCGAATCGTCCGCGAATAAAAGCAAGATTGAGAATGTTATTTCATAAAAGTAACGCGTTACCATTATCGTTACATTTACGTTTTAAGTAAAAAGTGACTCGGTACCGTTACTCAGTCCTAACTTTAAAAAGTAATGTGTTACTGTTACTTCAAAAATAACGATTCGTTTTCTTTCGTTCGACTTTTTTTCATAATTTTTTTGTAATGTTGAAGTAAGACGTTGGATTAAAAAATTACACTGTTTAATAATCAATATTAATTGCGTAAATCAATATTAAAACTTAAATTCTAATATTAAATAAAGAATTTTTTAGGACAGAAAATGTGAATATACAACAAAATGTAGTTTATTATGTATGAAGATTTTAAGCTAGTCTTATAGCAAGCTTTTCTTTATATTAAATTTATATGTAATAAGAAATAGAAACCAACCGAGTTAATGTAACAACATAATGTAATGGAAAGTGCTTTAGGATTTATTAAAAATTTTTGTTTTTAAACATCAAAAATCATTATTAAAAATGCAATATTCACTGCCAATATTGAAAATTAAAAAATTTTTTAATAGATCGCGTTACATATATACATATATTTTCCTACAGATTTTTAGTATTGGCAGAAACTATTGGAATGTAGCCTAAAATATAAAGTATAAAACATTTTTCGATATTTAAATTTTATTATAAAATATTTCTAGAAAATTATAAAAATAATGAATTCTATTGAATAGTTATAAAGATAATAAAGGTTTGAAATAACGATACAGCTAAATTTGTTATTGTTCCTGTAAAAATGTAATGACGTCACTGTTATCATTACAGACAAAAAAGTAACGACGATTATCGAAAAAAATTAACGAAAATAGTAATGGCATTAAAAAGTAATACGTTACTTTCCAATCCTGAATGAAAGTATTTGCGCCATAATTTATGACGCTTAATATATTTCTCGCAAATAAATTTAGATCTTTGCACATTCGTTGTTTATGATATAAATAATTATGTAAATAATAATTATTAATATGAATATATATATTTATTTATTTATGTCATAAATTATAACAGTACAGGTTATATAAGAATAAATTATTCACATGTTTAATTATTAAAAAGATATTATTGTATGGGAGAATTAACCTCCGACCTTTTCAGAGCTAAAAGTTAAATTTAACTATGTTGTTTCTACTTCCTCCAGTAAACTCCAAAATACGCGTTACACAATATGCCAACCGCGCGTAATTGTGTTCGGGAGCGAAATATCTCGGACGTCAGATATGAGGGATTACATTTTAGAAGCCAATTTATTTTCAACCGTCTCGTCTAAGCCCTACGGCGAACAATATAATTCTCCCGATTAAAGGCGAATAAAACGGCTCTTAAACTCGGCATAATCCCGCTGTCGAAGTTCCGCCGATCAATAACGGAGACGAGAAAGAAAAAAAAAAGAGAAATTCTACGTTTTTATCTTGTTCAACTGAAGAACGCGTGTGTGTGTTGTGTTTTTCCGTTCTTTTTCTTCTACGTACTCTCCAGTCGCGCCAGTTTGCAAGATGAAGGAGGTGACGATAATCGGGGCTTCCCTGGAGGAGTCCGTGAAGGTTCGCTGCGAGGTCGACGCCGACCCGAACGAGGTGGACTTTGTCTGGGAGTTCAACAATAGTGGCGAGAACTTCGAAGTCGCGCCGGCCAAGTTTGACGGCAACAACGGCACCATGAGCGAGCTCGTCTACACCCCCGAATCCGAGAGGGATTACGGTGCCCTGACCTGTTGGGGTAGGAACGCGATAGGGAAGCAGGAGGCGCCCTGCATCTATCAAGTCATTCCGGCAGGTGATGTTCTAGACGCTTATCATTATGAAAAAAAGAAGTGAACAAAAAGAAAAAGAGAAAGATAGAAATCAGTGGGAATTTATTCCACTGCACTTCTGCTTTTTTCATTGCGAATCATAATCTGGAAGAAATCCTGTCGCTTCTGCTCTTTCAAAGGCAAACAAATGCGTCCGAGATTCTGAAAATATTTAAATATCGTATGTACTGCTATATCTCGCGTCGAAAACATATAATATTTAGATGTCCATATTTAGAACTCAACGCGGCTATTTACGGTTTCCTTTTTTCTACCCGACTCGCAGCTAGCTTATCGCGCCGTACGTCATAAACTCGAAAATATTTGTTTTATCGTTTATTTCTGCAAGACGAGCTGTGTACGTTCCATCATAGTTTACTTAAACCGTACCCCTTTTGTATCTCAGAAAGAAAATCAGATGTTGAAAAAAAATGAGAAACATTCGCCTTTAATTATATTTTTCTTTTCTGACATGTTCTACGTGCAACTTCGTATAATATTTTTCTAACTTTCTCAGTAGTCGTATCAAAATATAAATTCGTCAAATCTCTAACAAAGGAATGTGCTATGTTGTAAAAATAATATCAAAAAATTAACATTACCAATCGAAAAATTACATTTGAAATAGTTATTCTAGCTGGTTAAATCTTGGGATCCTATTCGATTTGGATTCTGTATCTGACTTGGATCGAAATATCTTTCTTGATCATTTTAATTTAGACACAAAATATCTCGAGAACAATGCATCTTTGAAAAAAAAAAGTTTGCATTAAAAGTTGTAAGATTCGAAGAGAGTTATCAGATGAGTTACTTAGATTTTGAATTCAGGGCCTTATTGGACCCAAGTTGGTCAATGAGTCCTGGACCCAAAATCTCAGTAGCTCATCTAATGCTCTCTCTAAATCTACAACTTTGGCCTCTTTAAACCTAACAACTTTTATTTAAAATATTTTTTTTTTATGTATTGTCAATATTTTGTGTTTGTGATGAATTGTAAATTAAAATAGCCAAACAAATTCCGGCTTAAGTCGGATACAGAATTCCAATGTTTGATGACCATCTAGAATATTTATTTCAAACGCGATCTTTCGGCTGGTAACGCTAGTTTTTTTATGATTTTTGTAATGTAGTTCCCTTGTAAGTAAAGGTATCCCTTTTGATTAAAATTCTAAAAAACTCTAAAAACTCAACGCGAGAAATGTGTCTGAGCAGTTAAACCGAATCCTCTGAACAATTGCACCATCAAAGCATCGCTCAATCAAAGTTCGGAGATCCTGGAGGTCGAATGCGTGCCGGGATATGACGGCGGTCTCCACCAGGAATTCCGACTAGAGGCTTATGAGGTGCTGACCGGTAATCTCCGGGTGAACGCGTCCAGCGTGTCGGCCGATCTGCCAATCTTCCGAATCGCCGTGGCTGATCTTCTACCAGCCACTCACTTCTACTTAGTGACCTACGCCGTGAATGCCAAAGGCCGTAGCGAAGTTTCGCTGTTAGAGGATATAATGCTGCGCGACTCAGAAAAGCATACAGGTAATTAAGTTATAAAAAGAAAGTTATTCTGCAAAAGTGTCAAAATTGAATTTTCACCGCGTGGTAAATGTTTCTCTCTTTACTTTTATATTTTATCTGGATATATCCGTGTATAAAATAAATAGTGTATAATAAAAGAAACTTTATCTCTGTTTTTTATAACAACAATAATAGATAGAAATGAAATGCTATAAGAACATTTCTATACGGATATGTTATATTAAATGGGGTTTTTTTTTTTAAGAATAGCATTTCGGAGATTTATCATTTCGAAACTGATTTGATTTGAGATTCAGATTTAGAATGTATATTTCAGGTTTGTTCTTAAGAATGAATTAATTTAGATAAAATTGATGATATCCTGCCAAAGACTGTCTTTTATAAAAGGGATTGACAGAGATTCATGATAAATAATCCAATTTAATACTTAAAATTGAAACGAATAATGAAATTTACTGATTATTTCGATATTTATTTCTGATATATTGGCGTCGTTAGTTATTTTGACAGAACCATAAAAGAATAAAAATTACATCTAATAATAATCTGTAATAATAAAACTAATAATAAAATGAAATACTAATTCAGATTTATTTAAAATTTCATAAACTTATAAATCCGATAACTAAAAATAATCTGTAATATTTATAATTTATGGTTTATTATTTGTTTTACAGGAAGAATCTATAAATATACTTTCTGTTTACAATAAATCACGTTTATTGCATCTTTTAGAAATTTGCAATATATATGATTTACCGTAAACAAAACTACTTCTATATATCTTCATTCCACGAACGAAAAATACCAATTTGTTTCTAACTGAAGTATTTTACACGTATTATAATTTTCTGGAAAAGAAGGAATGGTTATATCACTGAAGACGATAGCAAATTTAACGCGTTCGCCATCATGCGCGTTACATGATTAACACAACTAATTACAATTGAATAGATTTTGTATATATATATATATATATATATATATACATACAAAATCTATATATATATATATATATATAACTACTACGGGGACGATTTTTTTATCACGCGTGATGAGACAACCGCTCATAGATTTCCATCGCAGGATGAAATTCACATTCTAGATACCGGGGTCAGTATGCTGCCGTTGATCCTGCTGTTGGTCGGCTGTCTGTTGGCCTTCGGTGCGACCGTGATCTCCGTGATGCTGATGATGTATCGACGACGCGGCACCACGTCACCCGTACATATCGAGCCCTATATGAAGCAGCCGATAATCACCCCGCCGGACTCGAGGAACAATTCGATGCTGGACGTGACCCACGGCGACCACACGTACTTCGTTGAGTACACGTTGAAGCAGGTCACCGATTATGCGCTCAATAATCAGCCGGACATCATACAGTCGCCGCAAGGTATCGCCGAGCAAAAGACGTTATTTCCACTTGCGATCTGATCTGATCCGATCGACCCAGTGTTGCTGAATTTAGTACAATTGTATTGAATTGGGTACATTCTTAATTATATTAGCACTCTTGTATGTACATTGCAGAAAAGACAAGATACAGTAAGCAAAAGAGAGATAAATAAAAATTTTTGATAGCTTTTGACTCAATCTGATACATTTTTACTATTTAATTGTACAATTTATTTTTGGATTCTGACCAATACTGGATCGATCTAATATTTAAGTTGTCTAATATTTGATCTAACATTTGAATTCAGATTAAAAAAAAAAGTCGCGTGAAGATTAAATCGTTTAAATTTTAAGAATTCATGGAATAATAGAGACTCGAATGAACAATAACGAAGAGTTTTGATTTCTGCCGAACTGTCATTTTCTGCAGGTTGATCAAGTTACGTGCTATTTTGAACTGGCAAATCAATTCCTATCAAATATCGAGCTTTTATTTGAATAACAGCAACGAGAGATATTTTTTTTCAGAAAGCATTTATTAAAAATAAAATTGATAATTTAAAGAGCACTCTTGCCCGTAACTAAATGTACATTTAACAAAAATCCTTCTTTTTTAACATCATCTGTCTGATCTTTGCCTTCAGCATTTTATTTAAATTGTTCGAGAGCTGTTAATGTAAAGTGGAATAATATGAATGTTTCAGACCAAGAGAAGATCAAACGCGAGCCGCAACTGTTTTTGCCAGTGAGACCAGACACGTTGTTCGCGCCCTATGACATTCACAAACAGGGACTGCAAACAAACAGATGCAGCGTAAGTCATGTCAGAAATTATAAAGTGGTCTTTTTGAAGAAAGGAAACGGTTGAAATAATGTAAATGATGCACCGTTGCGTTACAATCTGTAAATTAATCCGGTATTAATTTGTGGTTCTGCCGTGCCATATCCGAGAAAAAGGTTTTAATTCTTGCATTCTGATGGATAATTGCGAGGAACGAATGTTACGTGTCTTAATCCTCAACGAATCGTCCCGTATAATGATTTCTAATTATTTCAATAGGTGGATTAACGTGAGATGTGCCTTTGATTCTTTTCTCCTTCGATTCTTTACAGCGATAGGAAGTTTCAATAGCGCGCGAGATTTCGAACTCCGATTTGGAAGATTAGAAATTTAATCTGCCGTAGATTGAATTTCTATCGATCGTTTATAAATTAAGCCGGCTATCTAACCAATCTCAGTTTAGCTGTCGCGCGCGACCGGTATATAACCGTTATGAATAATATCGATCTTCCACGCGGTGTGGATATCCGAGGAAGCCGCTACTATTTTCGATTCCCAATTCTATTTCTCCGCGCACGACGCTAAGTATTAATTAGATTTAGACCCGATATCTCCTCTTGACTTGGCAGCTGAACCCGTTCTCCGCAAAGTCCTGGGAGCCCATCAGTTTCAAAGCCGATCGCAACCTGATGAAGGAGATCATCATCGCCAATTCCATACCGGGACCGGAGAGCTGCGTGTAAACTTGATCGAGGAAGTGAATTGGGAGACGTAAACATACACGCACACATACTTATACTCTATACGATACAACACGCCCACACAAACACGTACACAAACAGCATATCATAAGGGCGATCGATTTCGTAAGCCCTGAAAACTGTATCGCGTATCGTCGCTCGATGCCACGACAGATATACGCGCGAATATATCAAAGACAAAGTCAACGAATCTCGTGTCTCGCTTGTTAACGTGCGCCAGTGTGACATATCACGATAACGATATCGTAGCAGACATATCAGCATATCGTAGCATATCGTGGCGCGCCACGATCTCTCCTGAGATCATCGAGAGTCTTTAGGATCACCCCCCCGCCGATCCAGCACGAGACCGGGGCGAGGAATCGCGGAGTCGTCGCGAGACGATTTAGTCGCATAATTTAACCAAACGCTACACGTGGTGTACTATTCCAAGTTTAATATATTTTGTGTCAAGTCTTAAACTGTCTCGTTATTTCTTAATGTCGTTATTACGACTGATGTACCTCCATCCTAGCTTTCTTCTCTGATTTCTCTTTTTATTTCTCGCTGAGCCATTTTTAAACGTCCGAAAGAAATTTTTTATAATTCTATTATGCGTATTATATTATGCGTATTTTTTAAATTATTTTAGCCTAACATCTCATTCATCTTCTTCATTTTGTTAATTATGTATATATATTTTTAATAAATAAATGATATATTATCAATTAAAAAAATAATTCTATTTTCAATCCAAGCGAATCTTGGTGCTTAATAATATTTATACAAATTTTTTCATGTGTCTCAATGATCGAATTGCTATGACGTCCATCCCAAAGAAATCGGGAGTTCTAAATTCAAATCAAACCCTAGCTAAGATGACATATTTCGTGATAACGTGAGAACTCTAAGTTCTTGATAGGATTTTTTATAATGCTTATTATTAAATTGACGATTAATCTAATTTATGGTATTAATATTTCAGCTTCAGTTTGCAATTGCGGTTTCAAGTTTTTAGTAAATTAAATCATAAAGCACTCTAAAATTTGCTGCGATGGGAAATAAGATTATTTCTCTTAATTGATTTACCATCGATCTAATTTTTACTTACTTATAATAGATGTATTATTTAATTATTATATATATTTTCTTAGACGATGGATACGCTTTAAATATATTTTGTACACTTTACTCTTGTTTAAATTACATAACTTCTTATTATAATAACTGGAAACTAAAATTAGAAACTAGAAAATAGAATCTGTAAATTAATAATATTATAACACTTCGTACTGCTATGATATCAAACTCTATTTTCTTCCTAATTACCACAGACCAGGTGATCTCTTTTCAAAAGAAATATAAACCTTTAGTATAAGATATTGTTTCTTAAAATATGAATTTATTTCTATCATGTAAATATATCATGTAAAAAGATAAAAAGATTTTCATATAATAATATAATAATAATAATAATAATAATATATAATATATAATATTATAGCTCAGCTAATTTACCTTTTTTCTAAAAAAAGGAAGGGCCATCAGGATATAATTAAAAATATTATTTCCAATTTAAAATGATGTTTATTTAAAAAAGACATATTTCTATTCAGAATTTTATATAAATAAAGCATTATATATATATATGTGTGTATGTATAAATATGTATAAAGTATATTTATAACAGTATTTTACTTTATCTCTTAAAAATGACAAAAATCTGAATTCACTAAAAATACTTCGACGGATAGATGTACGAGAATGAGGTAAACACTCTCCGCGCAATTTCGCAAAAGAAAGAGAACGCGTCTACAAATCGATTCTTAGAAAAATAGATTCTTCATTAAAGCTAGCTGGCAATCGACCATCTCTTCTCGCAGAACGTTGAAGTGAAGTAGGTTGAATCTCGGTTAACTTTAATCACCGTTTACGAGGTGTCCTTTACGAGAAATCGATGGATGACACAAGCTAAAACAGCGTGCGTTTAGCGTGCGTATATTTAAGAGACGACCGGAAACAGGTGCGTCCGCTTCCGCAGGCCGTCGCGCCCAGGAAGACACCGTACACCAAAGCGGTCCAGACTATCACGCCGACCGCAGCGGCCGCCAGTATCAGATGCGCTCGATGACGAACGCGATCCAGGATCCGCAGCATCCACTTGCGGTCCACCGCTCTCCCAGGAGACGCCGTGCGACGCAAGGATGCGGTCGCTGCGTTCTAGACATGCGCGGTTATCAGAGAACATCCAGGGAACATAAGCCGAGCTATTAATTTCATCCAAAAGGTGAAAATAATAACTCTTGTAACGGGTTATCCTATGGAGACAGACAATTCGATTACATCGGAAAGCTTTTAAGTAAATTACAATCGCACAATCGTTCGACTCGCATCTCTTCACAGAGAGAAATGATTTTTGCTGAAGTCTAAAAATTTAGCTTAACACAGATCTGAAAATAATTTTGTTAAATCATCAGAGTAATTAATATGCAGGACGTTCTAGGTGGAACATCAAAACTTTTTACTACATTGTTCATCATGCTTAAGTTTTCTACATAAATATTTTGATGGTCCATCAAAATTATTTCCAGAGATTTGTATAATATCTAGTTAGAATAAACAATAAACAAAGCATTTAAAACAGGTTAATGAGAATCAGCGCAAATATGTGAGCGCAAAATTTATTAAGATTGAAGATAATTACTCAGACGATTGTATAATGTCTCCTTTATTATATTTGAACGTTTCAACTCTCTTTGCTGAGTCCTCCTCAGCAATATTAAAATAGACGAAGTCGCCCATCCACTGGGAGCAAGTCACTCACAGATTGACAAAACTAAAATGATGTTAAATTGAGATTTATCTCGATGGAAAAGAGCGACAACAAGAACCTCGGAACCGTATTAATTAACAAAAAAAAATATATTACAAACGTCAAGATATATATTGATCGCAATAATGTCTGTATTCCGTCCGTACAGCATGGCGTATTAATTAAAATTGAACGTTAATTGTATCTAGTTAAATTTTTAGATATTTCAGCAAAATTGTGTTCTTTTCGTGTTCGGTCGATGCATAGAGGGTGAAAAGATATATTTTTTATTTTATTAATAATTCTGACTAACTTTACTTTGTTGATAACCGATTAATCGAGAACCTGAATGATCAAAGATAGCAAAATCTGCTTTTTTTTTTCAACCCTTACTATGTTCGTCCCTTCGACAATTCGTTTTGCAACTGCAGTAGCTTTCTGCGCCTTGTACACATTGCCTTGTGCACAGTGCGATTCGTTGAACGCCTGCTCTACTTTGCTCTCCACCTCGTGCGGATCATCGTATGGCTCGTGTACTTCACCGCACACTTCGTGGACTTCATTGTTGAGCGCTTCGTGCATTTCAGTGGGCATTTCATTATGCACCTTCTCGCGCACCTCGACGTTCGCAGTCAGTAAACGCTCGTACTACGACAAACAAATTTTCCCTGTACACTGAGAAAAAAATTTACTGAATTTTAATATTTCTTTGAATAGTCACAGCGGAATATTTACTAAATGTAAACACGTATTAGATACAAGAAGCATTAATTTGATATCATTTTTTTCATTTATCTAAATATTTACTTACCGCAAATAAATATTCTGCAAGACTATTCAAAGAAATATTTATTAAAATTTAATAAATTTTTTTCTCAATATCCAAAACTACTACTAACTGCTAGAAGACATTTTTTTTTAGCTTCCCGTATAGATGCGAGGTTTCACGGGATCTTTAGGAAATTGTCCCTTGTCAATTTTGATCTTTGGATATGTTATGTAAAACATTAAAACTGTACAATATGAATTTTATACCATATATAATATTAAACAAAGTGATTTTTATAGATGTTTTGTCGCTGAAAATTGAAATTCATAAATCTCGAAACACAATAAGTGTAATAAATCTTAAATCTTAAGAAATTAATTAGGCACAATCGAACGTGAGAAAAATACTCGATCATAATTGGTTAATTTCTTAAAGTTTAAGGTTTACTACACTTATTGTATTTCAAGATTAATGTCCATTTCTATTATTGTAGATTAACTGTAATCTCAATTTAATTTACTCTTTATCTTTTTCTAATTCTTGGAACTAGAAAAAGATATAAAGTAAATTAAACTGAGATGAGATTAAAGTTAATTTATATTGGAAAAAGGAACGTAAATGAAATTGTCCCATCACGTTTTTGAGATATTTTAGCTCAAACATGTCATTTTCAGCATATTAAGTTCATTTTTCCCAAACACGTAACTTCATACAGCAATTTCATTTACGGATTCATTTTCAGTGACAAAAAAATTTGTATAATAATCATTTGATCCAGTTCGTGGTCTAGAAAAAATTTAAATTTGTCAGACAGTAATATTAAATCTATCTTTTCTTTTTACGCTTATCTTCAATAATCGAAACACTTCCCTGTGAATGACGATAAATGAAAAAACAACATTTTCGAAAAATGTGAATACACTGTTATAAAGAATATAAAATATCATAAAACTTTTGTATAAAACATTCTTTCATATACCTCATGTTTTAAAGATATTCGCTGAAAATGAAAAAAATCCGTTATTCTCGAGAGATTGTTTCACCCTCTAAACCTTTAGATGCGCACATAAAAAAAATATGGGTCTAATATTTTTTTATTTTATGCTTTACAACAAATCCGAAGTTCATCAAAATCGGACCGTTCCGATGGTTCCCTTGTTAGTGAAATTAATGTTTCTAGATGAAACGGAAATGTGAAGTAAATTTGTGCAGTAAATTAAAACTCCGAGATACAATCGTCAGTGGAAAAAGAGCAAAAAAGGATGACGGGTCTCTCAAAAGCAAGAAGAAAAAGAATGGAACCGAACAATTTGCGAGATTAATCTGTCCGTCTCAATTTCCGTCTCAATTTCTTTTAATCCGTCTACTTCTCACGGGGAAATGATAGCTGATAAGAAATTAATAAAGAGTTCTTATACAACTTTTGCAGTGCGCAAATTTAAATAATTTAAAACGCATGTTCTTTTCCTGTCTCTTCCTCCTTTTCCGTTTTTAGATAAAAAATTCTTTTTTGTTATTGAGAATGATATCTTTAGACGTGCGGTATATTTAATTTTCTGTATATTTAATTTCTCAGCAAATATACGTTTAATTTCCTTCGACCTGCGCCTTCCACCTTTCCGAATGTCGCGTCGCAAATTGCACAAACGCTCCGAATTATCGTGTGCAAGAGCAAAGTCAACATCGCGCTTCCGTAAACGTGTGTGCCGGGAATGTATCTTAAAACGGAGAGAGCGAGAGATCGTTCTCCAAACGATCCGGAGGGCGATTTTAGCGACGTGGGGAAGGTGTTGGGAGGATCGATCGGTCCAATTACGGGAAATGCGGGGACCCGTACCTGCATATTCTGCAGTTTACTTATTTGCTGACGGACCAGACGAACCACCTTGCATTTCGCGTGT